TAATCTGAATTTGAGAGGTACAACTCTACTCCGTTACATCATTCCAAGTCCCAACTTTCTGTTGTTCTGCCATCACATAGGGCAGGATTCAATAAACTACAGCCTGAGAATCAAATTCTGCCTACCACCTTCTTTTTAAATAACATTCTATTGGAACTCTGCTATACCCATTCATTTATATATTTTCTGTAGCTGTTTTCATCTTTTTTTTAATGTTTTTATTTATTTTTGAAGGAGAGACAGAGCATGAGCAGGGGAGGAGCAGAGAGAGAGGGAAACAGAATTTGAAGCAGGCTCCAGGCTCTGAGCTGTCAGCACAGAGCCCGATGCGGGGCTCAAACTCACGTGCTGTAAGATCATGACCCGAGCTGAAGTCGGACGCCTAACCGACTGAGCCACCCAGGCACCCCATGTTTTCATCTTACAATGGTAGAGTTTAGTAGTTATGACAGAGATTGTACAAACCTGAAACAGGTACTATCTGGCACTGTATAGAAAAAGTCTTTCAGTCCCTGCCATAGTGTGTTGTCCTTGTCTACATGGTCAGCTCTAACTCGCTGCCAAAGCACCCACATTCCAAGCCAGAAGAGAGCAAAGGGCCAAGTGGGAGGCAAGCAATTTCATTTCCAAAGACCAACTTGAACTTGCACATATTATGTCTCATTGACTCCACTGTCGTGGGCTAGACATATGCCCAGCTAAAATGCAGTGGGTCAGAAATGGGCCCAACTAACATATGTGTGGGTAGGTCTGTTACTAAAAGGAAAAAGGATAAGTAGATGCCAGGGAATGCTGAGCAGTTTCTGCCACACTTATGAGGGGAAAGAGTGGTTTAGGTGGAAATAAGAGGGAAATGATAAATAAGCCTCTTGAAGCAACTGCCTTCATTGAATGGATTTTGACAATTAGAAGCACTTCACAAAGTAAAAGACTGCTTTCCGGGAATTTTGCCTCTTCTTTACTTATTCCTTCTTAAGTGTAATTCACCCAAAACGTAGTAATACTAATATTTTAAAGAGCATATCATCATATTTGGTATTTGTTTTCAGTGACTATAAATAAGCCTTGAGTCTCTGCAATGGTAATGTTAGCTTGGTGTATGCCTCCCATGCAGAACCTCTCCTTGTTACTCTAACACCTCAGTGTAATTTCAAAGACAGTACCTACAGATTCAGTTGCTTCACTTCAGGAGCATTTTTCCATTCTTTGTCCATCACACATATGTGTGATGTGTCCAACACACATATACACATGTAAACAAGATACATGCTCAACAACTTAATATTCGCTTATATGTTTGAGTGTCTTATCTTAGCAAGTCCCCCTAATAAGTACCCCAAGGAATGTGAAGATAGGCTTATTAAATAGGGCAGAGTCAGCAAACTAGATTTCAAGGGTTAAATCCTGCCCACTGCCTGATGTTGGAAATAAAGTTTTAGAGAACGCAGCCATTCTTTTTCATTTACATATGGTCTATGGCTACTTTTATACTACAAAATCAAAACTGAGTAGTTCAGCAGAGATTCTATGACTTGCAAAAAGCCTAAATTACTATTTTGCCAATTAAAGAAAGTTTGCCAATCCCTGAACTACAGCATCCTGAGGAGCCCTTACTTTCATTTGAACTCAGGATTATAAGTAGAATAGCAAGCAGTTAGTTTGAATGTAAGCAAGAATTTCTTAACTCTAAATATAAACAAACCCTAGAATTTATTTCCTTTTACATTTCCTGAAAATTTTCCTGGAGCTTCCAAATGGCAGAAAAGGCAGTTATTCCATTTGTAAATATTTTAATAAAATGAATAAGTTTCTTGAGGTTTAATGGTTCCTTCCAAAGGGATGAAATGTTTTAAATCATTTTTATAAATTTACTACATTTACTGTGTATATTTACTGTGACACCAAATATCCACAAAAGCATTTTAAAAAGAGTAGATGTTTCAAAATAAACAGAGAGGGGCGCCTGGGTGGCGCAGTCGGTTAAGCGTCCGACTTCAGCCAGGTCACGATTTCGCGGTCCGGGAGTTTGAGCCCCGCGTCAGGCTCTGGGCTGATGGCTCGGAGCCTGGAGCCTGTTTCCGATTCTGTGTCTCCCTCTCTCTCTGCCCCTCCCCCGTTCATGCTCTGTCTCTCTCTGTCCCAAAAATAAATAAAAACGTTGAAAAAAATTAAAAAAAAAAAACAAAATAAACAGAGAAAAACAATTTCACTTATTTCTATTCTATCATTATATTTATAAACAAAAAATAGAGTCAGTCATTATAATTTAGATTTTAACATTTGTGTCACCATGATTAGAACCTTAAAGGATAAACTCAGATTATTGTGGTATAAACAGAAGTGTTTTCTTGGGATGTTATGATTAAAATTAAGAGAGAGGTATTTTTAAATTATTGCTACAGGCATACCTATTAAGATATTTTTATGTTTCCTAATATTTTAATATTAATATTTCAACCCCATCCTGTGTAGTGTTCCATTAATTCTGCTACAGTACCTAATTTCATTATTTTTCTTTTGTGATAAGATTGTTGAAATATTCATCCCCTTTCATAAAATCCAAAAAATCCAAGAGAAGTGCCTCTTTAGATTCCCATGATAGCTTTTTACACCTATTGTATTAAATTTTACTTCTAAATATCTGTCATGTTTCCCTTCAGTAAGTGTCCTAATGTATTTTATTGCCAAACTAGATTCTCACAAGACGAGGTATTTAATCCACTTATGTTGGCATTTAAAACAGAAATGTTATGGGGCATCTAGGTGGCTGAGTTGGTTAAACTTTCGACTTTGGCTCAGGTCATGATCTCATGGCATGAGTTTGAGCCCCATGTAGGGCTCTGTCCTGACAACTCAGAGCCTGAAGACTGCTTTGGAAAGAGTCTCTGCCCCTCCCCAGCTGGCACTCTGTCTCTCTTTCTCTCAAAAATAAATAAACATTTAAAAAAATTTTAAGAGAAAAGTTATGAGAAACATTTAACAACTACAAATCAAATTAATCCTCCCATTTACTTATTCTTTAGCCACTGTTGAAATTTCAATTCATTTTTTCTTATTTTTCAGTCTGCTCTTTGAAAAAGGTTGGGTAAAAATCAACAGGCAATCATAATCAAGAATCTCATTTTCATTAACATCTTTCAAGAATATAAATTTCAATTCTTCTCTGCCTGAGTTATCACAATGCACACTGGAGCATGAAAAATAAATGCAAGAGAAAAGAAAATCAACTAAAGGACAAAAGAACAAGAGAAACACAGAGACGAATGTATTAAAAAATGAATGAAAGAAAAAGAAGAATTCACAACAATACTGCTTTAATAGTATCTGGAAGCACAAACTGGGAGGTTAGGAAGAAAAGGAATTGTGCTGACCTGTTAGAAATAGGCGGTTTCTGGGAGCTGTCCAATGTACTAACTGAACGGTCGTACAACTCCCTCCTTAATAGGAATTGATGTCTTCAGGAATTTTTTCTTGAACCAAGGCGCCTCTTTACTCGTCTTTTTAGGCTCTTTTAACCTATCTTTAAAACAATTTTCTAACATGTTTTTCTGCTCTTCTGTGTCTTCTTAAAAATCCCTACGCCGAATAATTAAATAAATATAGCTACTGGCAAAGAAGGAAAAATGAACACTTCTTTGTTAAAATATTAGCGATAATATGAAATTAGTAAAATTTTGTCTTCGTCACACCAAATTTCAAATATCTTTACGTCTCAAAAATATGATATAAAGATAACTTTAAAATCTCCCTTAAATAGAATTCAATACAGCATAGTTTCCACTGGTAAGTCCTGTAGGGCAGTACAAATCAATGAGGAAAATGACCCAGATGGAAGTGAAGATTTATCTTTGTTCACAAATACCGAGCGGCAATTTAAACGTTGCAAGACTTCTCAACAGAGAGTGAGCCGATCGACTTATTGCTTTATCAAAGGGTAAATCGCATTTTTGAGAGGAGATTGAAGTTGTTTTGTTTTGGGGCGCAAGTGTTTGCTTTTGCTTTGCCCCCCGACCCCCCCCCACCCCGCCACGCTGGGGTTACACAATTAAGCACACTCGGGAGAAAATATTATGAGCTCCCTTCCCCCCCACCCCATTATCATTTTCCCCTGAA